TGAAGCTTCAAATTTGGCTCAGTATTGTGCTGTCAGATACTATCAAAATTTCAATGCTTTGATTTGTTCATTTTTATTTTTTTAACATTTTGTGTCCAGCATAGTTGATGAGGTTTTTTTTTTTTTTTTTTAAACCACACTCTTCTCCCCTTAGGAGATTCAGTACATGAAGGCTTAGGTCAAGAAATGACACCCCTGATGATGTCATGAATTCTTACATAAACCTGAGACTTTGTGTGTGTGTGTGTGTGTGTGTGTGTGTGTGTGTGTGTGACCCTGTGTGGAGGTCAGAGGAGGACACTGGGTGTCTTGTTCTATCACTTTCTGTCTTATTCCTTTGGGACTATCTCTTATTGAACCTGGAACTAGGCTGGTGGCCAGCAAGCCCCAGTGATCTCCTTGTCTCCAATCCCCACAGTGCTGGAGTTATTAACATGCTTGAGTGTGCCTGGCTTTTTTATGTGGATGCTGGGCCTTTGAACTGTTTCTCATGCTTGAATAGCAAGAACTTTCACACACGCTATCTCTCCAGCCCTAACATTTTTATGCGTTACAGAAGTAAAGACAATCCTTTGTGCTCAAGCCAAAATGGATTTGGATTTTCTGTTGCTCATTTGTGAACTACTGTGGTACACAGACAGAAATCAGGTTATGCACCTGAATCTTCAGTTAGCTGTTTATTTACTTAGTTACATGCTGTAGCTGATGCTTCTTTTTGTGTTTGTGTATTTGTATGCATGTTAGTAGGTGTAGAGGTGAACAGTGTGTTTGTGCATGTGCGTGCCCATGTGTATAGAAACTTGAGGTCAATGTCAGTTGTTGTTCCTCAGGAGTTCCACCTTATTTTGTGAGACAGGGTCTCTCACTGAGACCTGGGGCTTGCTGTAAGGCTTGGCTGGCTAGTCAGGAAGCCCCAAGAATTCTCCTGCCTCTACAGCACTGGGATTAGAAGCACATACTACCCAACCTAGCTTTTTATGTGGGTGCTGGGGACCAAACTCACATAACTCACTCAGGTGCTCATGCTTGTGTGGCAAGCACATTACTGACAGTGCCTTCTCTCCAGCTCCAAAACCACCTCCTCCTCCCCCTTGTCCTCCTCGTCCTTGTCCTCCCCTTCCTCTTCCTCCCCCTCTCCCTCCCCCTCCTCCTCCTCCTTCTCTTCTTTCTCCTCCTCTTCTTCAACAGGGTCTCCCTGTAAGTTCCAGATGGCCTAGGGCTCACTATGTAGACCAGATTGACCTTGAACTCACAGCCTGTGTCACCACACTCAGCCTTTCCAATACTTTTTAAAATGGCAACAAAATATTCCATTGTAATATAGGTACCATAACAAAATATTTCATTGTAATATAGGTACCATAACTTATTGCCCTAGGGTGGATACAAAGTTACAATTTAATTTGATGCTGCAGTAAAGTAGCTCTATCTGTTCTCTTGTTGTGATTTCACAAAGTAGGTGTCAGAAGTGAAGTCATTGAACCAAAATACTTACAAAATGAACACTCTGAAAAGCTATGTCAAATTCCTTTCCAAACTGGCTGTAATAAGTTATCTGTTACCAACATTGGCAGTTGTTTTCTTTATGTTTTTCAGTCAGACAGAACTATATTTTAATATGATTCTGATTTTCATGTCTTTAAATTTTATATGATTGAGCATCTATTCATATGCATATTGTCTGGTTTTAGTATAGTGCAAGAAACCTGTTTTGATTCTTTACATGTTTAAAATTTTTATTAATTTTTTTCTTTATGTGTTTATACCAATTTTCATTCTTTTAAAAAATAACATTAATTGAATAGATGTTTTCTCCCACTATACTGAAATGCTAAATTCCAATTGTATTTTTATTAGTTGCTTAGATGTCTGTTAAGTTGTACTGATTCATTGAATAACAACAGTAACGCTGATTTTGTGTTTCTCTGCTAGGCACTATGCTGGCAGGTTATAGGAAGTATTGCTTTAATTCTGATTAAAATAATTCAACATTACAGATCAGGCCAAAATTCTGATATGAAAAAAACCTTGGGTTTGTATAAATAACAAAAAGTTAGAGGCCTAGGATTTGAAGTGAAGAGGGCTTCCCACACGATTACTATTTAGGGTGTGAATTGGAAGACTTTTAAGGTAGAAAAATTTTATTATAGGTTAAGTAAAAGCTTGAGAAAAATCATGACAATTGTAAAAATTCAAATTTGCATAGAAAACAGTGAGCAATCTAAATCTGCTCTGTTAATTTGTCTACAACTAAGGAGTGGTGTGGGGCTGTGGTGTGGGGCTGTGGTGTGGGGCTGTGGTGTGGGGCTGTGGTGTGGGGCTGTAGTGTGGGGCTGTGGAGGACTTTTCTGCTTTTGAAAAGTTTGGGCTTGATAAAGAAATCTACTTAAAATTTGGGCATGGATGCCAGTGCCTGTAACCCTAATGAGGGGTGGAGGAGACAGGTGGATCCTGGGAGTTTGCTGGCCAGCCAGCCTAGCCGAAGCAGCAAGCTTCAGGTTCACTGAGACACCCTGTTTCAAAAGATAATGCAGAGAAGAGAATGATAGAGGAAGACGGCCAGTGCCGTCCTCTGGCCTCCACATGCACATGCACACACTTGCACACTCCCATGTGCATATATCCCACCCCTCATCACACACACCACACACACCAAAACAAAACAAAAATATAGTAAGAATTTTTTGTTTCGAACATGCCACTGAGACTATGGCAGAGTTGCTGACTGTAAGGGGTTGGGAACCAGAAGCTGGTCCATCGTCCATCCAACTGTGTTCATCCTACTTGGCATTCCAGGATTGGAGCAGTCCCACACCTGGCTTTCTGTCCCCTTCTGTCTCATGTACATCACCGCAGTTTTGGGAAATGAGCCCTCATTCTTGTCCTGGGTGAACATACCCTCCATGAGCTCATGCCTGTGTTCCTATACATGCTGACTGACCCTGATGTTCTCCTGTGTACCTCCGCTGTTCCCAAGGCCCTGGCTATCTTTTGCTTCCATGCTGGGGTGATACCCTTCGATGCCTGTGTTACTCAGATGTTTCTCATCCATATTGACTTTGTGACTGAGTCAGGAAGTCTGCTGGTTACAGCATTTGACTGATATGTGGCTACTTATACTCCTCTGAGATACACAGCTGTCTTAACTCTGATGGCAATTGGAAAACCGACCCAGACTGTCTGGGGATGGAGCATCGGGACCATTTCCCCTATCCCATTCCTGTTATACTGCCAGGCCAATATAATCCTACGTTCATACTGTGAGCACATTGGTGTAGCCTGTGCTGACATTTCTGTCGACATCTGGTATGGTCTTTCAGTGCCAATGGCGTCAGTTTTGATAGATGCTGCCCTCACTGGTATTTCTTAAACTTTGAGTCTCCATGCTGTGTTTAAACTTCCTTCCCAGGATGCCCAGCACAAGGCTCTCACTATCTGTGGTTCTCACATTGGAGTTATTCTTTTCTTCTTCATATCATCATTTTTCTCTTTCCTTACTTGCTGCTTGGCAAGCATATCTCCCACCATGTGTACATTCTTTTGGAAAATCTTTATATGTTAGTTCTCCCCACACTTAACACCATCATCTATGGAGCAAAGACAATGCAAATCAGAGAGCATGGCTCACATGGTATTTAATATAAGGAAGTCTTGAAATGGTTTACAGTACCCTCTAAGTTTTCTCCTACCAACAGGAGGAAAGAGAACTTGCCAGTAAGTTCCCAAGTTTAGGCACTGTATGATATTATAACAGAGAGCAAATGGGCTTTGAAATAAAATCTATCGTTTCAAATCTGAATCCCATGGATACTCCTGTCACTGCCTTCCTACTGCTGGGATTACAAGTGCATGCCACCAC